TTTTTGGAAATATTTTTTCTAGTTCTTCTGTTATAAAAACTTTTCGTAACAGAGTGGTATGACATCAGTGGTATACATTATATTTGAAGCCATATTTACAAACATATGTCTGCTTATAAAACTGTTTTATTATAATTGTTTTGACTAATACAGCAGTTTAGCTGAATACTCTTTCATATTGCATTCAGTTAATTTTTTTTTTTTCAATGTTTGCAGCTGAGGCCCAGAACTTTGATGAGGAATGGCAGAAGAAGATTACTAAGTTCAGGCCATCTGGACCTAGAGGCAATTTAGATGCACCAAAGCATAGAAGTATCCATTACATAAACCAGGAGGGTGAAGCAAGAAGGTAGAAATCATTTCTGAAATGACTATGCTGCCAGCCTTTGCTTTTTCTGGAAAGAAAGTCATGTTTTTTTCATGAATAAGCAATTCCTGTTTGGAATCTTGAGAAGAAATAATATACTTTCTGCCTGCCTTTTATAATTAATGTAGTTTTTAAATACAACTTAGGACATTTTCATAGCTATTTGGTGGCTTTCAAAAGTACTGACAGTCTTAATACACAGTTGTCCAACTCCTGAGGGGCTGCAGGCCTTCCAGACTGTACCAACAGGGGGTGCATGCCCCCAGGCTGCACCAGGGTGAGCCATGAGTAGTGTTGCATGCATTTACCACTGCTGTACTGAGTACCCACTTGAGACACCCCATGCCTGCACTGTGGAGCCCTGGATTTGCCCTTAACTTCCTGCAACACACTGCTGCCCCATCCCAGATGGGGTAGGGACAGCAGGAAGTAGAAGGTGAAGGAGCGAGGAGGAGCCTAGAGGCTCTGGCTGCTATTACAGCCGGAGTGATGAGGGGAGCAGCAGCCAGGGGCTGCAGCTTACCCACTTGTGGGCTGCATGTTGCTCCTGGGTCACCAGTTGGATGACCCCGTCTTTAATCTATTTGGATATAATTTGGGTGCTAAATTCTTAGAACTTTATATCTTTTTGGGCAAAAATCTAATGACTAGAAAAATCTGTATGTTAAAAATAATGGGGTCACATAAACAGGGTTTATACATTAAGGCTAAGACTTTTAATTCCTTACTAGGGGTTGGATCTATCTCTGTCCATTAAGAGAAAGCATGTAGGGTGTGTCCTGATGAGTACGCGCTTGCGGTTTGAGGCGGCGCACACGCACGCATTTGCCATGCAGCTAATTTGCAGTGCAGGGGTTTTTTTTAATACTAGAAGATCCTGGGGTCAAAAAAAACCACCTCTGGCAAAAGAAGAGTGGCAAACGCAGCAGCAGCATGTGCTGCCAGAAGGGGAGCCTGGCTAGTCAGAGCCGCACTCTGGTTGCCGGCCAGGCCGCAAGCAGCTAGATTGTTACTGCTGCTCCTCTAGGAGGTCCCCAGGACCCCAAGTAAGGCTGCTGGCCCCAGCTGCCCCTACCTCACATGGGTCACTGCACTGCATGCCAGACTGTGTGTGTTGGGGTATGGCCAGGGACAAATAGCAGCAGCATAAGTATGTGCCACTGCTATCTGTCCTGTGGGAAATGCACCCCTGCAAGTGCATGCTCGCTGGGACGTGCCTGTAGAGTTCAGAAAGCTGCTGTATTCCTCCCATGAAAATATCTCCTGGGGTGAGGTGGCAAAGATTCAGAAGATCAGTTCTCCAATCTCACTGAAGACACTTTCTCATTGGATTCTCTCCTATCTGTGGCCCCCTCTCCTCCTGCTCCATAGCTTTTTTCTTATAATACAATTCCAGAAGGAGCCACAGAGTCTTTTATCAGTCTTGTGAGTGCTTGTCATCAACTGTGGACAAGATGCAACAAAAGTTATTGCCATGCCTAACTTCTGTAGGAGGTAAGTGATTGCAGCTGTGAAAAGTCTCCCAAACATTGCAGAGCATCTTCTTTCTAGCACTTCTGCAAGGTCATAGAAGGAATGATGCCATATAGCAGATGATGTATTACTTCTTTCATCAGTGTTCCAAGCTAAGTTGTGCCTGGGTATTCCTGTTGGAAGTCTGTTTAGAGTAACAAGCAAAGAACTGGATTGTTCTTGGTCCTTAGGTAGCGTATCATATGCGTCAATTAAAGTTTTGCCTGTAAGCAGTTCTGCTGCTGCCTCTTATCAAATGCCTTTGTGTGAATAACTTGGTAAAAATCCTAGGTTGCTGAAATATCTCTTCCACTAAAACAAAAATTGTAAAACAACTTAAATGCACATCATAAAGGTCTACATTAAATAGTTATCCCTGTGGGTTGTAAATGGCAAACAAAATGATGCATATCTTTTTTTTTTTCCTTCTCCAAATAGCATACAATTATTTGGATTTTGGTTTTGTTGTTTTAGGGAGAAACCCAATCAAAAAACACCAATTGCAGACTCCAGAAGACCTAAAGCTGCTTTAGAGAGCCTCAATGTGAAGGGATCTCACGTTCCCATCAGAACCAGCAAAAAATAAATGGCTTGCATACTCAATTGTATGGAGTGTCTTCAGAGAAGATAATAGTGCTGGATCACACACATAATGTATATATATCTCTCTCTATATATATAAGACCAGTCTCTATTCTTGTTCTTTTTAAACATTAGTGTGCCTTGCCACTCTGTTCATTTAAACACTGAATGTTCTTGGAAGACTCTAGTTGCTTGGTGACTGCACATCTTTTTAAGTAGTAAAAGAAAATATTTAACCTTAAAAAGCACTTTAAAATAGGCTTATTACTCTCTTATATTCTGTTTTAAAAGGTAGTACTTTGCCTTCCAAACTTTTTTTTTTCCTTCAAGTGCACTGATCTCA